CAGGACAGGACAGGACAGGGCAGGACAGGACAGGAAAACACAGGACAGGACAGAACAGGACAGGACAGGACAGAACAGAACAGAAAAGGAAAGGGAATGACAATACAGACCAGAACAGAACAGAACAGATCAGGACAGGACAGGACAGGAACGGGAAAGATAGAACAAGACAAGACAGGACAAAACACTACAGCTCACATGGGACAGGGCAGACTCCGGACGATACAGGATAGCATAGGGCATTCAGGACAAGATAAAAGAGGACAGGACATAGCTCTTAGGACAGGAGAAAAAAGGACAGAAAAGGACAGAACAGGTCTGGAGTGAACAGGTCAGGGGTGGACAGGAGACAAACCACACCAAATCAAGGCAATCGAACTTAGACCAAATAACAACAACAACAACCAAACAAAGCAAAACAGAACGAAACAAACAAACCAAACAGAAGAAAACGTCTTTTTTGTAGTATACAATAATCACTTTTTGTTGTTGTTGCTGTGTTTTAGACGCTGATGAATGCAGCTTATCGGAATCCTTCTGTGACGTAAATGCCAACTGTAAGAATACACTGGGTTCCTTTCGCTGTTTGTGTAAACCTGGATTTACTGGAAACGGAAAAACTTGCAGTGGTATAATGATATATGTGCTCAGTAACATTTTTATGATACTTGTCTCAAAAATAAAGCCATACCTTTGTTACACAAATGCAATGGCAACAATCCGGTTGTGGTAGTTTCGGAATCGCGTCCGTTCTACAGCAGTTTCGTGCGACTAGCACTTGTATTTTGTCCGTCAGCTTTATTGGCGGGACTAGTGTCCTCGAGTCCCTTCAACCATTCTTCTTGGTTACAGAGCGACCCACGGTCACTCAGAGCCTAAGATCTTGTTGACACTGAACCTGTAGGTTCCACCAAGTTTTCGCCTCTTCGGCTTCTTCGAAGACGAAAATGGCTAGACGTTTTCTTGCGTTTTCGTCCTGACATGAAGAAAATTTGACAAGAACGAAAGCCAACTTGCAATGAAACAACCAGATCGAGAACAGTTCGCGTGCACAAATGAAATATCACACCGTAATTCGCATTACAAGTGACAATTGGCGGTAAATTTTAATTAGAGGTGTCAACGCGCCGTAAAGGGGTTAATGAGATTCAAAAATAGTTTTTCTCTTTATCTTAAAAAGTAAAAAAGCTTTTTTCCCCATTCTTTTTGCAAAATATTTATCTCAGTCTTCTCAATTTGAGCACCAAAAAAAAAAAAAAAAAAAAAAAAAAGATTTTTCGCATTTTTCGTAAAAATCCACCTACCATGATACCTCAACTGAGTCATCGTAATTAATACTATGACATGAACCATGGTACTAAACTTATATCTTTATGTATACATCTAAATTTTAACGCGCGCTCTGATTGGCTGAAACAGCGGCTTTATCAGAGAACAGATGCCTGGAACTTGGAGGAGGAAGCGACCAAGTGAAATGAAGAAAAGCGGTCCGTTTTACCTCACTGTCATCGACAAGCCGGTTTTAAGCGTTTGGTACAAGAAAACCCCAATGGGAAAGAACACCACAAACACAATCATGAAAAACATGAAAAAGAACTCACCGCTTAAGGATCTGTGTCCCGAGAAGAATTTGACCAACCACAGTACACGAAAAACCGTGGTAAAGAAGCTGAAAAGTTCTGGTATCCCGAAGTGTAAAATAAAGAATACCACACGCCACTCATCTGCCAACGGGCTTGACGATTACGACTCAGGAGACGAACGAGAGCGGGCAGATCATTTCACGAGCCATTGACAACACTGGTCCTGTTCCTTCAAGAGGCGCTTTAAGTCAACTTTATCCTCCAAATTCCACTGCATCTTTGTGTGCTCCTGGGCATGTTTAAAATTTCAGTCACTACAGCGTCACCTTGAACATTGCCGGGAATGATGCCGTTCAGAAGAGCACAAGTGATATAAGGCGAGCTGAGGATACAAACGTATCTTCATCGAAGAATCAGATTCTGAGTGATCTGAAAGCGTCTTGAACGTTTTAACTTTGTTTAAAANCCGTTCAGAAGAGCACAAGTGATATAAGGCGAGCTGAGGATACAAACGTATCTTCATCGAAGAATCAGATTCTGAGTGATCTGAAAGCGTCTTGAACGTTTTAACTTTGTTTAAAAAAGCTCTAACTTTATATTTTCAAAGTTGAAAGCTTGTTAGCAGGCCTGGTTGTCAATGTCCTGGTATCTTTGTGCAAAAATAAAATTTCATTCAGCTCATTCGTGCGTTTATGGCGATTGATTCTTTGTCAACATTAAATGGCTTCCCATGACCGATTACTCAAGAGCGCAATTTCAGCAACTTCTGAAAACACGCGTGATACTAATCCTTAATTTTACTCGGCCCCCTGCGATTACCTATACAAATCAGTGAAAAAAATCCCGATAAAGTAATTTGCCTGGGAGCCTTTGCATTTTTTCAGTATTACTCACATGACCATGAGCGTGGCCTGATGACGTCATCACTAGTGTTACTGATCATGAAAAAGTTAAAACACATGAAATAGCTCTGAACTAACTAAAAATGATGAAGTTATATGAGAATAAATTTTCCTTAACAACGGCTCGAAAAGATCAGTTAATGGGTCCTTAACCCTACCAAAATTTTAGCCTACAGGTTCTTAATAGCTAGGGTCGTAAGCTCGTTTACTGTATTGCACCCACAATCATTTAAAGTAAATTAGAAGAAATGGTACTGTAATGTCCTTCAAAGAAGTGTAGCGGAATTAAACGTCGTTCAAGTAAAACTGAATTAAAATACCAAAGACGATGAAACTTTAACACGAAGAGGAAAAAAGTAATCAAGTACAGCATTTAGTATAGTATTAGGTTCCATTTTGTTACCGACTTCAATTGACTTAACAAGATTTCTCCTTTCCTCTCCAGACGTGGACGAATGTAGTGCTTCTATCCCCGTGTGTGACGCCAATGCCGATTGTAAGAATACTCGTGGCTCTTATCGCTGTTCCTGTAAGAGTGGATTTATGGGAGAAGGAAAAAGCTGCAGCGGTGAGAGAAAAGTAAATTATTTATTGAAGTACTTAAAAGTACTTCAGTATTGTAGATGCAGAAGAACGTAGTGTTCGATCCACTTAGCGCTGTTGCCGTTGTTCCTGCAAATCTACTGGAGATGGTAAAACTTGCGGCGGGTCGAGGAAGGTAAATTAATTAAAAGAATAGAGCAACTCATATCAGATGTTATGTTGAGGAGGTGAAGAGAGGTTTTTGTTTTCAATGATGGTTATAAAAATACTTTCCAAAATCTATGACACAGAACTGTTCATAAATGTCAGCATGTTTAAAATAATGAAAATGCAGTAATTACAATGAACCTGGTTTCTGGAGTCTTCTCTCCCAATCTGTGAATCAAGTGGCGTAGGGAATCGAATTTTCACAGATTATAACACCAGTTGATTGATACCCATGTCTGTTGTAACCAGAGATACTCGATTGGGCTCTGCTTCTGAGCTGAAGTAAGGTCTGCTTCAGTGCATATTTGTAAAATCGTGCGGCGAACAAAGTCAATAAAAGAGACTGCAACTGATATATTTAATTTGTTTTTTTCTCCTATTTTGATTGTCCGAGCAGTTTGCAAAGCAGTTGGTGTCTCCAATACTGGAATTATTCTTGATAGCCAGATTACGGCAACTTCTGAGTACAGTTCTAGCTACAAAGCGTATTACGGTCGCCTGCATGGTAGCAGAGGTGACGGCTGGTGCTCAAGGGTCAGCAACACCAATAACGAGTGGCTTCAAATTGATTTCCGAAAGACAATCCAAATTTGTGGTGTTGCTACTCAGGGCGATGTAAATGGCGATGAGTGGACTACAGTCTTTAAGTTGTCTTTTTCTACTGATGGTAATAGCTGGAAAACTTACAGAGATAAACAAAACGTCGAAGTGGTATGATGGTATTTTGTACACTTTTTTATCTTTTAATTCGCTTAACCAAATTCCTTTTCGGCATTTTTTTTTTTTGTCAGTACTACATTATAAACTAATCAACAGTAAATTCAAAGGATTGAATAAACATTTTATAAATTGCATAGACCAATCACGCGGCACGCTTTGTTTTAGCTGACGCCAGTTTTGACCCAAGCACCAGCTCTCCAGTTTTCTGAATGAAAGGGCGAGGTTTCACTCTGCAGTTCCTAGAATAAAAACACATTGAAACTAGTGTAGGCAATATCGCGGGTCCCAATTTTTTTCCTTTGAGGTCTATAACATGGAATGATGATACGATATAACTTAGTAGGGCGTTGCGTCATTTATAGCAGTGATTTTTGACCATTTGGCTACAAGAAAAAATTGTTTATTATAAAAAAGTGAGCAAAATATTGGTGCAGCTGTCCAATGAGATGAGTCGCGCGGGATGGTCGGTATAGCCTTCTAGGGCGCTATTGGAATTCTCCTAGAGATATGACGAATATACATGAAGGTATCCAATTTTTAAGCCTAAATGTTATGCAATTCAAGGAGAAAAAAAAAGTCATTATCACACGTAAGAATTCCTACCGTTGGTTTCGTGTAAACTTTTTCGTGTCATTCCCCTTTGTGAAAACAAAATAAAAGGAATAAGAAATAAAAATAAAAATAAAAAACAACAACAACAACAACAACAACGAAAAAAAAAAAAACAAACAAACAAACAAACAAGGAAAAGCAAACAAACAAAAAACAAATAAAAACAAACAAACTAAACCAAAACGTTTTTAATCCTTCATATCCCTTTCATTATGTAGGAATTTCACAGGAACGGTAACAGCAGTACTGTGGACCATCACAATTTGCCAGTTAAGGTTTCCGCAAGGTACATCCACTTTCATCCAATAAACAGGTACAAATGGAACTGCCTTAGAGTGGAGGTGTACGCCACATAATGGTAAGAGGTTCTCTTCTGCAGCGAGATTATACAATTGCGTGGGTGCTTCTTATTGTCTTCTAGAGACCCTCTGAACCCTTCTTATAGGTTAACATGAAGAATTCAACTGAAAATGTGCACTTGGAAATCTATCGGAGACAAACAACCTGGCGACTTAAGACCTGGCCAAAAGAACTCGCAAGTAGCCGCAAGTAGTTGCAGGTTGAACTTCCATAGAGACTTGCCTTGGGTGGCCAAACGGAATTTGGAAGTTTCCTTGCAAGTACACGGAAGTCGCCAAAAAACAAATTTCAAGGCTTAGTACCGCGCGGCCAAAATGTAACTATCGCGTAAACAAAATGGTCGATACTGCGGATGATGTTGTAATTTATGAAAACCACGCAAACAAAACGGATGGAAGTCACTCAACTTCCGTTGACTTAGGCTGGGTAATGAAACGGTGAAAAACTTGTGTCGACTTGCGGGAAAATTTGATCTCGACCAAAGTAAGCGCAAGACATCATCGCAAGTCGAAGGTAGACTTAATCTTTAAACTTGCGCCTACTTGCGAATCCGTTTGGCAAGGGCTTTAGGAAATAGAATCGATGGAACTCATAGCCCGATAAAAAAAAAAAAAAGATTGACCCTGTAAAGTTGAAACGAGCGAAACTGCATGTACTTGAAGGATTTCATCCGATTGTCCATCATAAATCTTAACGTTTTTTTTTTTTTTTTTTTTTTNAAAGATTCTCCTAGCAAATTGCTTTTTGCTTCCTTCTACAAAAAAAGTAGAATGAGATCAATTGTTACTTAGCTAAGGGCTTTTTTCCCTTCAACTTTTTTTTTTTTTTTTTGTGGTACAATGTCTTTACAGGTAACAAGCCAAAGAGTAACTCAAGATTTCAGAGTGCCCTCGATTCGTGCATGAACCTATTAGTAGTATAGTGGAAACCGGTCACTTTGCTTTGCTTCTTTGTTTATTTGATTTTTGGCGTAGTAATCTCAGGGATCTATACTAGCTAATACATCATAGGTCATTGTTGTTATCCCATGAATAAAATGTAGTGGACTTATTAACCAACAAGTGGTCATGTCCTCTTCTCCTATAGCTAGTGCAATGTTTAAAGCACTGTGCAATAAAAGCATTAATTAGGTGCATTTATTGTCAAAGAAACAAGGGAGGATTAAAACATCAATCACGACCGTTTACCCTCTTCTCTTCATATATAAAAGTTACAGTGGAACACGGTAACAACTAGAGTACGAGTAGTCCCTCCTTCGCTTAATACAGGAAAAAACCGCCAGAAAGCCATTTTTTCTGGCCGTTTTATTTCACGTCATGCACGTACTATGGACTATGCGAAAGAGGGACTATCATGAGGCCAAAACACTTAAAAAATACATCCCAAAGGCTTGGAAAATACCGAAATTCGAGATACGAATTACCCAAATGCCGCGTAAAAAAATTTCAAAGTGCAGTAGTGCAAAATGAGTACCCATAACCTCAATTTAGTTTTACTTACAATCGCCCAAAGGACTTCCGCGAAAAATAACTTTGATTTTAACAAAATGCAATTTTAAAATGAATAGCTGGTTTTCACATGACGTCACTAAAATTCAAACTACAAAACTATTGATCTTCCTGAGATTTTACTGTAATGATGTATAAAAGCAGCTGAAAACTAATATTCA